GAGGGGGCGGGCGACGGGAAGGGGCCCGGGAGGCGGGAGCCGAGGCTGCTCCCCCAGGGCCCATGGCGGTCTCCACCCCGGGCGCGGGGCGGGAGGCAGGGCCAGCCCCGCGCGGCCTCGGCCTCCTCTGCCCTGGAAATGATGGGCTCGCTCCCGCGCCCTCCTCAGATTCTGCGCCAGAACCGAGGCCGCAAGGCCTGCGACCGGCCTGTGGCCAAGACCAAGAAGAAGAAGGCCGAGGGTACCGTGTTCACCGAGGAAGACTTCCAGAAGTTCCAGCAGGAGTACTTCGGCAGCTAGGCTCCCGGGGGGCGCGGCGGAAGGGCGCTCGGCCTCCTCCGCCTCGGCCTTCTCCGCCTCAGCCTCCTCCGCGGGCCCCGGGACCCGGCCGCGCTGCGGACGCGTGGCCGGCAGAGGGCGACTCGGGACCAGCCTGGCTCGAGGAAGCCGCGGAGCTGGAGCCGCGTGGAGGCTGGAATGGAGCTGGCGGGCTGGAAGTCCTGGGACGGATTTACACACAGACCGGAGCTGGCTTCTGCAGGCGTGGGAAGAGCATCTGCACTTCCGGGAAAGGAACGTATCTGTTTTGTTTGCTTTTGCCCAAGTGGGGCCTCTGGGCTCTTTGCTGTGAAACAAGGCTAGTTCCTGGGCCATTGGGGATGACACCTCCAGGAGTAGGAAGGCTTGTAGGTTGCTTCCAAGTTGTAATAAATGTGAACACAAGAGCTGTGTAGGCCAGGCGTGGTGGCTCAAGCCTGTGATCCCAGCACTTTGGGAGGCCGAGGCGGGTGGATCACGAGGTCAAGAGATCGAGACCATCCTGGTCAACATGGTGAAACTCCGTCTCTACTAAAAATACAAAAAATTAGCTGGACGTGGTGGCACATGCCTGTAATCCCAGCTACTCAGGAGGCTGAGGCAGGAGAATTGCCTGAACCCAGGAGGCAGAGGTTGCGGTGAGCCGAGATCGTGCCATTGCACTCCAGCCTGGGTAACAAGAGCGAAACTCCGTCTCAAAAAAAAAAAAAAAAAAAAAAAGCTATGTGTGCTGCTGACCGACCTCACAGGGTGTCTTCCATCTCCTGTGGCACCAAAGCGCCACCCTGCCTTCCCCCATCTCCCAGCGTGTTTCTGAGCTCCGGGTCACAAGTCCTCCAGTCCAGTCCCAGCAAGCATGCGTCAGAAGGCCGTTCACCCACTCTGCTGCCCTGCAGCAGGCGAGCCTCCCTCCTCTGGGGGCTGCGACCACAACTAAGAAGGTGACTCTTAAGGCAAAAATAGCTGCTGGAAGCAATTCTGGTATAGGTGGCCAGGCCCAGCAGTGGAAGTGGTGCCTTCTTTGCTACTGGAGGAGTTGGCCAAGGGTGCCAGGCAGGAGTGGGCCCGGACTGCACCATGGGACTCGGCTGGGGCCCAGCTGCAGGCTCAGAGCTTAGCCTGGGCCAGCCTTCTGGCACAGGCAGTGGGACTGTGGCACTCGGTGTTCTTTCCCTGCCTGGCTGACTGTCATGGAGTGCTCTTCCCATTCTCTAGGTCCACATCTCTCCCCACCCTTCAAAGCCCAGCTGGAAGGCCCTGCTCTTTCTCCTGAAGCTGCCACTTTCTACTTGGTCTAAGCGTCTACCTTCTGTCCCCCAACTAGGCTGAGAGCCCCCACCCCACCTCACAGGGCACCTAGGCAAGGGTGTTCGGCACTTGGGTGTCACTGCAGGGACTTTTTTTTTTTTCTTTTTGAGACAGTCTTGCCCTGTCACCCAGGCTGGAGTGCAGTGGTATAATCTCAGCTCACTGCAGTCTCCACTTCCCAGGTTCAAGCGATTCTCCTGCCTCAACCTCCTGAGCAGCTGGGACTGCAGGCGTGCGCCACCATGCCCAGCTAATTTTTGTATTTTTAGTAGAGAAGGGTTTCACCGTATTGGCCAGGCTAGTCTTGAACTCCTAACCTGGTGATTCAGCCTCCCAAACTGCTGGGATTACAGGCGTGAGTCACAGCACCTGGCCAGGGACTTTTTATTTCTACCTGGCCTCTTGGAAATAAAAATCATGCTCCTCCCTGGTTTTCCCCATGTCAGGAAATGGGCCCTCCTTTGTCTTGCTGTGGGGGTCCCCTCACACCCCCATTCCGGCCGCCTCTCCTTCCTGATCCCAGGCCAGTCCTCTGCGGGCTGAGCCCTGTGGCTCCCTAAGTACCCGTCTTAAGGAGCATGCCCAGATGCCCACGCCCAACCCACCTGCTGTGTCACATCTTTCTTTTTAGGGTCCCTCTGTCTCCTTTATCAGAAGCAAAGCTGCATGAGGGCAGGGTTTGTTTTGTTTGTTTGAGCCGATGTCTTGCTCTGTATGACGCCGGGCTGTAGTGCAGTGGGACAATCTCAGCTCACTGCAAGGGTTGTTTATATACTTGGCTCACAGGAATAGTTGTAGAAAAGATGAAGGTCGTTCTCTGCGCTCCACAACCTACGGCTTTGTCCTTCTCACAAAGCAGGAGAAAATGCTGAGAGCTGACCACTCCTGCCTATGAGGCCCCTTCCTATCCCCTGGGTCCCTGGTCACTGGGTAAAGCCCAGCTCCACCTCTGACCTGGTCAACCAAGGCTGGGCTAGCCAAGGCCCGGCAGGGGCCACAAATTGCCACATGCAGGGTGGTGGCCGGACATCAACCTCATCCCTGCTCTTCCCATACCCCTGTTGTGCTGGGCTCTCTGGAACAGACACCTGCCCAGCCAAATGCAGCGATCTGTCCAGGTTGCTATCACTGCCTGTACCAGCTGCCGCTGGGCCAGTGTCCACCCCCAGGCCAGGCTTCCCAAGGGTGTCTAAGTCTGGGTCTCAGCTGCATTAGCAAGAGGGGGACAGTCATAAGACCCTCCTCAGCCTCTCAGGAGGACTCTGAGCTCATTACTGGAAGGCACCTAGAGCCCCAGAGCTCTTAGAACATGTTAGCTACAGTCATTTTTGCTATTTCCCAGGCACTGCTGTGGTCCTGGAAATACGGAAATGAACAAGACAGCAAAATATCTGCTGCCATAGAGTGAGTTTATCTTGTAGTTAGGGAATGGAAAATAGAAAATGGATCTGTATAGAGATAAACTCTGGAGAAAAAGTTACGAAAAAAATACGACGGGGCAAAGGATAGTCTGGGACATGAGCAGGGTCACCTTGGAAGGCTTCTGCAGTAGCATCAGACTGCACAGGGTGGGAGGCAGCCCAGGGAAACGCTCAGGCAGGGGGAGCAGCAAGTGCAAGGCTCCAAGGCAGGACCCAGCTTAACAGACAGATGGAGAAAAGCCTGGAGCACAGTGAGGGGAGGTGGCGAGGTCAGGGAGGAGGGCAAAGCCATTGTGGCCTGAGCTGGTGCCTTCTGGCTCTGGGAGGCCTGAGCTGTAGGGGCCTGGGAAGGGCACAGCCCCAGCATCCTGGCTTCACACCACTGGCCTGCACTGCCCTTCTTGGTGCCTCAGTTTCTCATCTGCCAAATGAGGGCCGACCCCCACTGGCACTGGATGACTCTGATATGACACCCTACACCTATTTAGAACCTGGATGTGACGGAAGCCCGTGGCCTTCGGAGAATTCTAGAATCTCAGCAAGAAAAATCTCTCAGAGCACCAGGTCGAAGACCCATGTGTGATGCCCACTCCCACTGGTGCCTCGGGCAACTTCTCCACAACGAGTTGCATGCATGCCATCCACAGCTGGCTCTCAGGTGACAGTCTATGCTGGCCATGTGGGCCCCACCATGCTGGTCATTACAGGCCATTTGTTTCCAGCTCAACAGGCAAATGAAACACCCAGACTGGAAATGAGTCCTGGGTTCAAATCCCAGCTCTACCTCTTTGCTCAAAATCCTGGGTGAGCCGGGCACTGTGGCTCAGCACTTTGGGAGGCGATCACCTGAGGTCAGGAGTTCAAGACTAGCCTGGCCAACATGACAAAACCCCATCCCCAGTAAAAATACAAAAATTAGCTGGGCGTGGTGGTAAGTGTCTATAATCTCTGCTACTCAGGAGGCTGAGGCTACTCAGGAGGATGAGAATCACTTGAACCTGGGAGGCAGGGGTTGCAGTAAGCAAGTGTGGTGTCTGCCCCATTGGACTTCTGCAGGGACTGGATTAAGGAACACGCGTGCTGTGCTGTTAACAGCAGTGGCTGGGCTGCACTCACCCTCACTCTCCTCCCAGACACTCCCTGGGCACACCTGGTCTACACCACCTTCCACAGAAGGAAAACTCTGGTTTGGCTGATACCCCAAGACACAAAAGGCCACACCTGCCCAGGCTGGGCTGATCCTTGCATTCAAGCATTCATCCACAATCCAAGACAAAAGGCATCGCCTGCCTGGAAAGGCGAATGCACCCTACCAATAGGGAAGTCTGAAAGTGCAGTGGAGTGCTGCTCCATCCTAACATGACCTGAGAACATCAGGCCTTCTAGTTTAGGTAGCGACAGGCACAACAGCCTTCACTGTCACCTTTGTGCCCAGCTCTAGCTCAGAACCTATGCAGAATGTCATGTTTCCACACCCCAGGTAAGGAGAAACAGAGGCCCATCTCCATCCCGTGTCCTGCTTCAGCATCAATTCCCAAAAGGAGCTGTTTCTCAGAGGCTTCTGCAGAACTGTTTAGGTTATAAGCGAAACCTAATCCTGTGTACTTCTCTCAAGGATTGTGCAACCTTACCCAGAGCTTTACGTTGTCATGAAGGCCTCACACAGGTGAAGGCCCAGGCTGTTCCTCCCTTCAAACCTCCTCCCTACCCCACCAGCACTCAGCTCTGGCCAAAAGACCCAGCTTGCTACAACCGGCTCTAGAGTCCCATCAAAGTCATCAGCCACTATGGTCTACACCTAGCAGGGATAAGCAAATCCCACCCTGGATACAAACCTTGTATTAGACTGCCCTCCTCCCCCAGATCTCACAGGGAATGTGAAGACCAGCATGGGGTGGGTGGTAGCGGTTTCACTTGGTTACTGCGCCAAAAGGAATTACACACATGTAAATATTCACTACAAAATAATTTATTTTAACACACAGCTACAGCGAGAGACTCCTATGTACAAGCACCTTGCGCTCCTGACTACCCTCAACTAAGGGACCCTTTTCTTCCCCCTTGCCTTTCGGACCTCTTCTATCAGATCTTTCAGGTACTGGATCTCCTTGGCCAAGGAATCTGCCCTCTCTTTTAGAGCCTCATTCTTCTTTTCCAGCTCCTTGCACTCACCAGTGAGGGCCTCCTGCTCTGCCCTCTTCTTCTGGCGGTACCTAGTGGCTGCTGTCTTGTTTTGCTCCATCTTTTTCAATTTCTTATCCAGTTTCTCGCCCTTTACTTTCGCTGCTACCATTTTCTCTCCAGGAGGGTCATAAGGTTTGGGGCGGCCAGAGTCACAAAGAACACCTGGAGATGGGAGGCTCCTATTTGGGGAGCCCCTGGCAGAGGGGCTATGCTGGGGAGAACCCAGATAGGACTCTGGGCTCATACAGATACCACTATCATTATCTGAGGGAGCGTCTTCCTCCTTTATGCACTGCGGAATCATGGCAATATAAGCAGTGGAGTCTGGCTTCCTATCTCCTTCAGAGATATCCACTTCACTGCCCAGCTCTAAACTAAAGGAATGATCTGGAGTGGTGGAGAGGACCCCTGGGGATAGGGGAAGAGGTTGCAAGAAGGTGAAAGGGGCAACCTGGTCGGGTTTTGTTAAACTTTCTGGGAGATGGCCAATTGGGTTCACCGCCTGGGGGGGCTCCTTATTAGTCTCCTGGACTAGGGGGGCAAAGAGATCACACGTGTCGTCCAACGTGGCCAAAAACTCATCTGTCATGGTTTCCAGGTCATCTACACGCAACAGGGCATCAAAGTCAAACTCGTTCAGATCCATTTTCTCCAACATCCAATCTGTCCCGGAGAAAGCATCCTCTGCAAAAGATGAGTGATGGCCTCAGTGAGTCAGACACAAAGGTGGCAAGCCCCTAACCCCACATCCCACCCGGACGATGTGGCTGGTGGCAGCCTACTCACCCTTGCCGTTGTTGGGGGCACTGACCAACCCATCCACAGCCAGCCATTCGGAGGAGCCCGCCTTAGCCTTGTCGCTGGAGAACCCATGAGGTTTGAAATGCTTGGCCACCTCCAGGTAGTCATCTAAGAGACCTAGGCTTTCCTCAGCCCCCAAACCCGACTGGTCGAAGGGGGACATCAAGTCCCCCTCCAACACCTCGCTGCTCAGGAAGCTCATCTCGGTCATGTTGCGGTGCTTTGCTGGAATCGAGGAATGTGCTTAATTCGAAAGTGTCTCTGTCGCTTACAGCAACGCTGCTGCTGAATGCCGTGAGAAGCCTGATAAGAATCAGAAGCCAAGTCCCATTAGAAGTTAGCTGATCTGAGAATTTCATCTTTCCACTTATGAGGTGGGACGGCTAAACCGGTCATCTAGAGACTCTAACAGGGCAGATTTATCTCCCCCGCCCCCTTCCAGCTCAGGTTCCACAAAATGGACGATCACGGAAGCGCAGCCTTTCCTTCACCGGCCAGGAGGAAGGCGCTCCGTCTCCGCGTCCAAATACGGCCAGGGCGGCCACGCCCCGCCCACAGCCCGCCCGTGACTCACGCCCGCGGCGCCGCCCTGCGGCCGCCATCTTGCCTTCTGCCACGTTTCGCGGGTGAGACATTTGAGACCCTCAAGACCCTTGGGGGGACGTCTCGGGGTACGAGAGCGATGGGACTCCTAGGAAAGCAGTCCCGGCATCTAGCTGCGCTTTCCCGGTCCCGGGCACGCGAGCGTCTCGGAGACACCCAAGCAGAGACTACGCGTCTTTGGCGCTCGTAAAATCGCTTCCCCCTTGGAGGCACCGTCCCGGCCCCATACCGCGCCCCACCATCCCAAAACCCTTGCCGACCCAGGGAGCACGGCTGGATGGCCCGCCCCGGTACTCACGCCATGGCTTAAGCCGCTGGGGGGTGCCGCTGCAGAGCCTGGTGCTACTGCCGCCGCTGCAAAGGCCAACGCTGCCGCAGGCACTGCTGCCTCTAATACGCCATGGTGGCCTTAGGCCCTGCGGGCTGGGAGGGAAGGCGCACACGTGCGAAACGAACTACATCTGTGAACGAGTGAAGTAGAAATGGCCGCGGCCGCCGCCCGCCGCCTTTTATAGACTTCGCATCGACGGAGACGCAGCACAGACTTATCCTTCCGCCGAGGCCACGTGACCGTCTCCTCCCGCCCGCTCCCCTCCCTCCCTCTGACGCCCCCACCACCTACGTCCAGCTGGAGCGCACCTTTGACAAGAAAAGGACTTTGTTTCTATGGCCTCACGAAAGGAGAGCGGTACACTACTTTATTAGCTTCTATAATCAAAGAGTCCGTTCTTACGTTTGCCGCCGGAGCGCGGAGTGATCTCAGACACGCCTCGCTTCCGGTGTCGGCGCAGTGGGCGGGGAGAGGTGGTTTTCCCACAGAGGGTTTTCATTGTGAAGGCCGAGGCCGCCAGGTTATCGCGCGAGGTGCTGGCGTAGAGCGCGCGTCGAGCTGATTGGCCCAGGCGCGGTGAGTCATATATACCTCGAGCCCTTATTGGCTGAGGGCCCTAAGTGGGTACGGCTGAGAGAGGGAGCCCAGGGCTTGCGCGGGAAGGGCCAGGGTTCCGGCTTGTCTGCTCTGTCTCAGCCCCGCCCGCCTGCTGGCCCGCCGCGGTAGCGCGGACTTCTGCCCCCAGGCGGCCTTAGCGCAGTGCAACCCGTAGTGGCCTTAAGGCCCGGCCCCAGCGGTCGGTCCCGCAGCCCTCCGTGGAGGTCCCCACTGGCGGCCCCGCCGCCGCTCCCAGCCTGCGCGCTCCTTCGGTGCAGGTTGCGCTGATTTCTGGCCTGCGGAAGCCGCGGGGTTACCCGCACCAAGCCTGAGTCTTCTAGAGACTCCATCCGTAGCCGACATGGTGCTGTCCCCGGGAGGCTGAAGGAGTCTTAAGAGGGCGTCCCGTCCCTGCCCACCTGCCGGCAAAGGCCGGCTGAGTCTGCAGGGCTCCTCCTAAACTCTGGAAAGGAGCCGGGAAGACGCGCCATCCTGTCGCCCAACCTGGGTTTTTGCAATTCTCATCCGGCTCAAGTGCAAGGCTGCTACGGAATAGCATCAGAGGGGAATTTCTGGTGGCCTCCGGCTCCGTTCTGTTCCCCTAGGAACAGGATTTTCTTCGCTGCCGTCTCTCTGGGGTAGTTTGGATTCACTCCGGATTCTGAACTCCCCAGCCTAATCTGCTTTTCAGCAGTCAGGTTCATGGCCCTGGGAGGAGAGGCGCCTGGGAACCCACGGCCGCTTGCTGGGGGTTGTGCGTTGGGAAGGGGTAGTCTGTTTTAAGAGTACGAGAAACCTCCCCGTAGTCCCCTAGCCCCCTCCAGTCAGAGGCCCTGCGAAGGTGGAAACCTTCCGCCTCCATTTCACTGAGCCACACAAGTATTTCTATGAGCGCTGTGATATCAAAAAAACGGGGAAGCAATGCTCTAAATAACCACAGGCCATCTGCTGCGCTCATTCAACCTCGCCCAAGAAATCCTTTCTAATGATAAACGGAGGCCCAAAGGGATGAAGCTTCTTGCTCCCAGTCACGCAGCTCCCAGTGGAAGGAGTATGGGGTAGGAGTTGGAAGACATTTTGGGGAGCACACGCAAAAGAATCCTGGCTGGGACATTTTGGCTAAGCGACTTACCCTCTCTGAGTTTCGGTTTCCTCATTTGTAAAATGAGGCTATTGATGATAGCCTCCTTTCACTTCTCCTTGCCTCATAAAGTGAAATCATACATGTAAAGCACTTAGCACAGCACCTGATACATATAACCAATAATGGTTGCTGTTGCTGCTACCGGACATAGAACTCAGGTTTCCTTACCCTGATCTCTGTAACTATCTTCATCACATCCTCCTGGTGCCTCAGAGGACTCTTCACTATTATTTACTGAGATGAAACCAACAACTTTAAAACAACCAGTATACACAAGGCATACTGGATGCTGGAATAAAAGCATGTTTTTTCTTTCTCCTTGGGGAATCATGAATGTTGAGTTATAGAGAAGCTGGTTCCAGAGCAGTGGCTCCAGCCTGTAGTCCCAGCTACTCAAGCTGAGGTGGGCAGATTGCTTGAGCCCAGAGTTCCAAGCTGCAGTGAGCTGTGATTGTAACACTGGAACTCAGCTTGGGCAACAGAGCAAGACTCTCTCCTAAAAAAAAAAAAAAAAAGGGAAATTGTCTAGCCTTTTCATGCAAATGCATGAAAAATCCCTGAGCCATTAACCACATCTTCCAAAGGCAGATCTAGGGAGCCACAGGACATCAAGACAGTACTGGCCGGGTGTGGTGGCTCATGCCTACAATCCCAACACTTTGGGAGGTGAAGGCAGGAGGATCACCTGAGGTCGAGTGTTCCAGACCAGCCTGGCCAGCATGGTGAAACTGCCGTCTCTACTTAAAAAAAAAAAAATACAAAAACTAGCCAAGCATGGTGGCAGGCACCTGTAATCTCAGCTACTCGGGAAGCTAGGCAGAATTGCTTGAACTCAGGAGGCAGAGGTTGCAGCGAGCAGAGATCGCACCTTTGCCTTCCAGCCTGGGCAACACAGTAAGACTCGTCTCAAGGGAAAAAAACCTACCTCCTGATGGATGATTGTGCAGATGGTTAAGAATTAAAGAAACACTGCCCCAGTTTTGACAGTGAAAAGGTCGTGGAAGAATGACTCCAGTGGCAGTTTGTCCCATACACTCTCTTACAGAGACCTAGCTCAAACACTTCAAAGTTTCCCCTAGCTGAAAATGGAGACCCAGTACCACTCCCACAGGAAAATGTTTGATCTGCCACACACAAGTCAAAGCTGTTGGAAAGATTTTTATTTGCTTCTTCCCATGCTATGGAAGGACACTGTGTTCCCCAGTTTCATTTCCTCCCTCAGGGAGAAAAAGGACAGCAGGTCTCTCGGTCTCAGGGCTAGGTTGACTCTACCCATATAGACTTAGCCAAGACAGGACGGAAAGACTCATGACTGATTCCAAATCTACCAGCTAACACATCAACCACCACTGACGGGCAGGCAAGTGACTAGAAGGCAAGTTGTGGACTTGGCCTCAGGAACCAAGAATTTAAAGACTACAGGTGACCAAAATGTAAAGGTAAACACCTCGTGTGCAGGTGACCACAGACCCCACACCTCTGGTATTCTGGCCACTTACAGTAAGTGGGATCTAAAAGGGATACAGCCTCGAGCCTGGTGCAGGGGTCAGCTCTATCCTAAGTCTCCTATAATTCTCCTTGGCCTTGAGCTTCAGATAAAAGGGCAGAGTTCTAACAAATCCCAGCATTAAGTTCTCAGCCAAGTCAGAGCCCCAAGGAATTACCATGGCAGAGAGCTCTGGACACACGCAGTAGTCTCTATTTACAGAGACCCCCTCGGGGACTCTCCTGGGTCATTCAATCCTGAAGCTGATTCCCCTTCAAGACTATTTGAACTCTCAACTTGAGTGGAGTGCAGGGAGCACAGTCAGCGAGTGTGGAATATGGACAGGTGGCCCACCAGGGCCAGGACCCAGGAGACCGAAGGCAGGCCTCTGTGATACTTTTTTCAACTTGAGCTTCAAGATTTCTTTCCTTTATTTAAATAAAATTTAAAAAGTCACAGCCAAGCATGTAAAGAAAAAAATACTGTCGTCTTGAACTCATTTTTTAGGAAGGGCAACAGAGGAGAAGCAAAATAAACTCTGGAACTGATTAGGTTTAAGAGAATGAGTGCATTTTTTAAGTGTTAGGCTAAGTATAAGGTTTGCTAACCTTGATGGCACACACACACAAATCTCTAGATGGAGAAGTAGGAGAAGATGCTATTACTTCAGGCAAAAGTAAGAATTACTGAACAGGAAGGCAAAGGATCAGGGAAAGTTACTCAGCTTTCCCCAAAGATTTAAAAAGGGGGGCAGGTGCAGAATGTTGTCCTCTTCCATCCCGGAATCTCAAAAGCAGCTGCCTACGTTCCACATTTTATGATGAGGAAGATGGCAGCAAAAAGCCTGGCTTGCCCAGTCATGGTCAGCAAACCCACCAGGACCAGGGCTGAGAGTTCCCACTGCTTCTAGTTCTGAGGTCTTCTTAAGAGGTTGTTGCTTGTAAAATGGCAAAGTTACGGTTTTATCAAACAGTTGAAAGAGATGCTGTTTCAGAAAGATGGTAAACTCATTTGCTTTCCTAAAATGACACTTATACTTGACGTAACTTGAGACTCTTTAAAATCTTATTTTTTGAGTTCTCTTTCCAATTTTTTTTTCTCTTTGAAGCAGAGTCTCTTTCTGTCACCCAGGCTGGAGTGCAGTGGCACAATCTTGGCTCACTGCAATCTCCACCTCCCAGGTTTAAGTGATTCTCCTGCCTTAGCCTCCCAAGTAGCTGGGATTACAGGCGCCTGCCACCACACCCAGCTAATTTTTTTCTTTTTAGTAGAGATGGTTTTGCCATTTTGGCCAGGATGGTCTCAAACTCCTGACCTCAAGTGATCCACACACCATGGCCTCCCAAAGTGCTGGGATTACAAGCATGAGCCACCGCACCCAGCCTCCTTCCAATATTTTATGCGGTATTTGGTCAGAGATGCCAGCTTGGGAAAACTAAGTTTTTTTAAATACTCATGGCAGGGAAACCAAATGATTTATCTCAATGAATAATAATTTATACTTTTGCAATACCCTGTCAATCCTCTCCTCTGCCTTCTAATGGACACATCACGGGTACGCTGGAACCCTCAAAGTCAGGCTTCACCCCATACCTTCTAAAGCATTCATTCAGGGTGGTACTCAGGCATACAGATTTTTTTTTTTTACCTGCCCTTTGAGTCTGACCAACAGACAGGGTAGAGCTCTCTCAACATTCTCAGATTTATCATTTTTGTTCCCTCTCAATACCTTTATGCAAATGAAATTGAACCACCATTAAGTAATCCTTGTTAAGGGGAAAAGAGGCAAGAAGACCTCTAAATATAGCCAAGGTTAACCCTAGTTCTCAACTTCCTAATCTGTGACAAAAGGGGCAGGAATCTCTACCCTAAATTCAGAGGGGTGCTGAGGTATCAATGCTGAAGAGTCATTTCCTATTCCTATCATTGGGAAGGAATGAGACAGCTGCAGAGAGCTTCACCAGAACCTCACTGATGGAGAGGTAGTAATAGAAAAAAACACTCGACAGGAGGAAAA